CATACTATTATTCGGGTCATATGAGAGAGGATACCAGATAACCCTAGATTGGTCCGAACAATACCATGTTTTATCCTTACAATAGTAGAAAAAAGCTACCTGTTTACTACCAGGTCACACGATAAACAGGTAGTATTGTTCGGACCAATCTAGGGTTATCTGGTATCCTCTCTCATATGACCCGAATAATAGTATGTTCTATCCTTACAATAAAAAAAAAATATTAATGGGTCTTCCGGCCAGACTGGTCAATCTCATATATACAGTTTTCGTTAGAAATATTCAATGATCGAGACATTTTCTCTAGCAAAAATGAAATGATTCTTAATAGTGAAATTCTTTTTTTAAAGAAAACTCTTCGTTTCTTAACTTCACATAATCGATTATTGAAATATTAGTTATTTCAACAAAGACTATTTCACGAAAAATGATAAATTAAAAGATCAGAAGATATGAAATGGCTTTAGATATTTTTTCATTCAAAGCATAAACCTATGAAATGCCTATTACAGTGATTCGTATAGACAGACTATTTGTCAAGATTTTGATCTCATAAACTAATCATTAAAAAGAATCGATATTTAAATATGTAACAGATAACCCATAATAAATGACTGCACTTTCAATTCTATATATGAATCTTAAAATACGTTTTATAAAAAAAAAAAATGGAGTGTACCACAAGATGTAGCATGGAAAGCTCTACAATTTACAAAGTAAAGCTTATTGTGGTTTTGAACATTTTGTTTTCAAAGTATGCGAAATTCTGTGCGATCAGTTTTCGATGCTGCTGATGAAATAATTGTCTAGGAGCCGTTTGTCTTTAGATTGTGCTTGTGGAAGAAAAATTTCAATATAATTTTCATACGATAATGCTTTACTAGATTTAGATACAATGGTAGACGTATGACCATTTTTTAGATGTATGTAACCTTACCATAATTCTTTTTGGGTACTTAGCCGTTAAGTTTATATCCCTTACTCGTCTGCTTCTTGTCAACTGACAGCGTAAACACGGTCTAATGAGAAATACTTTTTGTCTGTTTATAAAATTGTCTTCAATCGATGATATGAGAAAGCAAATTGATTGTTTACTGGAAAATGATTATATTCGTAGCGTCAAAAACTTGTCACACAGACTTTTGTTTATTTTAAAAACAAAAGATATACAATTAAAATAAGTTTCATTTTGTGGATTGTAGAGTTTTTCACGCTGCATCTTATGGTAAATTTTGTTTATTTTATAAAATATATTTAGAGAAAAGAATATGATATACAAAATGCAATCATGCATTATCAGTCACCTGTTATACTATATATATGAACCATTTCAAACCAGATGAGACATGCCTACCTTTCATTTGATTTTGGTTCTTTATGAAGATTATTTTTCGAAATAAGTTCTTTTAGCATATGTATCTGTGAAGTTATTAGCTCTTTCAGTTGACTATTAATTATAATTAATTAATTAACCCTTCGATGACTGTCATAGCATATATACGTCATGAACCTTTGTCATCACGTAACCCTAATGTAATTACTAATAATGTATATATTTTCGATATATTAGCGTAAAAGAAAACGTCAAACAACAGAAGCTTTCTATATTATCATATTGTTACTGTCCATGTTAGACTCTGGCATTAAGAAACGATAGTATATGTGGTTGAAAAGCTTCTCTACTCTACAGATGTATATCTCTTGTCGGTAACCAAAAGGTTAATAAATTAATTTCATTAATTGATTAATGAAAAGTAATAAATTGATTAGATGTGATAAACGAATATTTCTCTACGAGCATGAGAGAAGGATTCAAAAACTTCAAAATTGATTCTACGATATTAACTGCTTCGCTGATAAAATTTTTAGCTAGATTAAACACCAAAAAACTTTCTATTAAAAACCAGTTTTCTAGAGATTCTATCAAGTCTAGAAACAAAAATTATTGTCTTATTATTGTTTAGAGATTCTGAAGAAGGCTTTGTACCATTGTGATATTGGTTTTGAATTTCTCATTGATTTACAAGAGCATTTTGTCGTTTGTATCGTAGTACTACATTACATTGCCAAGGAAAAATCGTTTTTTCTTTTTTTTGAAAAAACTAAGCATGCTCAGAAAAAAACTTTGGATATAGATGTTGTAATCTCAAGAGTTATCTACAAAATGTAAGATTTAGTTTTCAAAAATACTACTTCAATTTGAATGTTTTTGAAATTAATATGCATGAAGTGAAAGTCAATTTTCTTTTTTTGAGCCACATGATTAACGCCGACTTTTTATTGAGAACTCCTCTGAAAAAGAACGTCTCTAGCACTGATTTTTTCAGAGTATCTAGAGAAACTTTACATATATATATATAACATATAAAAGTTAGCTCCATAAAAGTTAGTTATTCTAAGATATACATGTCTTAATTTTGTGAAATCACGTCGCTAACGAATGATTTTGCTCTTATATTTCATGAAAAAGAAAATTTTCCATGATTTAGTATTATATTAAAATGCTAGCTGAATTTGAAACATTCATTTAATCATGAAAAATATTTTAATTCTTAATTTATTACAATAGGTAATCAAATTACCAGAATTGAAATTTGATCACTGTCATGGATCTGATATAAGTAAACGTGGTTATACATGTTCATTATGGCTTTTATTTCATAGTATGACTGTTAAACAAGCAATACTTCATGAACAAAATCTATGTAAGTTCATAAGAAAATTAAATTAAATATATATGTTTTTAATTTTAACTTTTTAATTAGTACCATTAAATGTTAAACCGTCAGATATGTTTTTATCAATTCGAGAATATATTCGTAATTTTTTTCTTTGTGAAGAATGTGTTAAGAATTTTCTTAATAAGACATCGAATGCAGAAAATCAAATAAAGTCTTTTAAAGCAAATGTTTTATATTTTTGGCGAGGTAATTAGTTTATTATATTTGATTTTAATAATTCTAAATTATTTTATTAAATAGGCCATAATAAAGTAAATGAACATCTTCGAGGTGAACAAATTTCAAATGATCCAGCTTGGCCAAAAGTACCATTTCCAACAAAGCAACAATGTCATTCATGTGTTCGTCAAATAGATGAAAATAATGATGCTTTAGAATATGATGAAAATGAAACATACAATTATTTAAAACATTATTATGATTTACAAAATATCGCTAGTCAAAAATATTTATCTAGTAAAACAAATACAGCAATAAACCTACAATATAATCATTTATTATTATTTCTCTCTACATTTTTATTTATCTTCTGAATAAATAATAGGTTTTGCTTAGAATAGAGTTTTGATTTTGTCTATGATTTACTACTTCCTATCGATTATATGTTACATGTTTTCTCATTTACTTATTTTGGCTTTTACATGAATAAACTAAAGATTTTCATCATTATGTATAAATTATTTTGTATGAATATCGAATAATAATCGTTCTTATTCATTTCAGCTTCTGAATCATATTAATAGACAAACAAAACAAACAGCAAGAATACCGCTGGATAAAATCGTAAATCTGTCACTGCCTCAGGCTTTACTTTCAATAGATTAGAAATATAAAATTCTGCATATTTTTAACTATTTAATTTTTGCTTTGTTATATGCAAGAAAAAAAAGTTTTTCGAGATCTAAATAATCTTAGCGAGCTGTATCACTTTTGCTTCGAATAACAACTATGGTACTTATGACTTTTCTATCATAGACCTAATATTAAAACTAATAACGTTGATCGATGCAGCTTTTTACGCTTTATAAATTGCCATATCGATTGCGTTCATCGATTAATTCATGCAGGGTCAGATAGATACGATTGATATGATTCTCATATTACATAGATGAATCTTCATATGTTTTGTAGAATACTATTATAATTATTTAAATATCAAATTAGTACTAAAAATCTTTATCATAAAATACTGTGCTGTCTCATGCGCCACCAATCTATATAATTTTAAGAAAAATCTATTCTATTCTAAAGCTAATCTCTCATGAAAACATTGTAAGAAAGTGACACTCGCTGTTAACCGTTTTTCTATTGGTTCTTGGTCTAAATTCAATTTCAGAGCGAAATAAGTACCATGTCCAGAATCAACACAAAAAAATGTTACGCTATATATATTTCAGCAAGAAAATTTTTTTTTTACGACAAATGCATCCTAAGAGAGACCACCGGCAAAACTTGAGAAAAAAAACTTGGTGGAGAAGATCACATCGATTTTACCCATGAAAAAATTACTTTGACTGAAATATATTTGAAGCAGTGTATTTTTTGTGCTAATTTTGGAGATGGCATGCATTTTGCTTTGAAATTGAATTTAGATCAATATTCGATAGGAAAACAGTTGATATTGACTTTTTATAATACTCTCGAATCAGTCATTTTCTTATCATATGTCGATGAAAATAAGCTTTAGAATAGAATAGATTTTTCTTAAAATTATATAGATTGGTAGAACGTGACATAGGACTATTTTTAATCATAAAGATTTTTAGTACTAATTTGATATTTAAATAATTACAATACTATCCTATAAAACATCTGAAAATTCGTATATGTGATATGAGAATCATATCAATCGCATCTATCTGACCCTGCATGAATTAATCGATGAACACAATCGACATGGCAGTTTGTAAAGCGTAAAAAACTGTATCGATCTACGCTATGAGTTTTTATATTGCATTTATAATAGAAAAATCATGAGTATTATCGTTATTATTCGAAACGTCCGAAAGTGATTGACTTAGCTAAGACTATTTTGTCCTCGAAATTTATTTATTTATTTTGCACTCAACAAAAGGTAACATAAATAAACAGAATTACGCAGAATTTCATGTTATATCTTCCTCTTCTATTGAAAATAACGTATGATGGATTAATAAATGTTCGATCTTGTTTTACGGTGTTCTTTCTCAAATCAGATCAATTTCATAAATATATGAAAATAAAACCTAATAATTGCAAACGGTATATAGTTGTTCTTTTATTTTTGAAAAGCTAAAATATTCATGAGCATTTCGATATCTGATTCATTTTGTTGCAAAAGCAATATTTATCAAATACATGTAATTCGATAATCGTTGAATGTTAATTCTATAAAAATCAACTTCCATCTCTATCGAAGTCTTGCTTTTTGATTTGTTACAACAACATAAATCGTTTTTTTGATTCTTATCTATATTACGAATCTTTCTTTGTTGTTTTTTTTTAAACTCGAATCTATAAGTATTAATTGAGAATATTCTCTCTCTATTTCTCTGTCTCTCTATAATCAATTGGTTATTTTATTCAAATGCAAAATAATAGTTTGTTACTTCAGAATAAGTTTTATAGAAACTGTATATAACACATGAATAGCTCACACTTCTATTACGATGTGTTTAGTAACGCGCGCCAACGTGTCATCAATAAAAACCAAAAAAAAGCGAAACAATAGGCTAAGCTACACTACACTTCATATGATATTTTCAATACAAATATTGTTATCATATTAACCTTGAAAATGAATAATAATAATAATAATAATAATAATAATAATAATAATAATAATAATAACACTGAAGAACTTATTACATATCTCCTACAATACGGAATATCCGATAGAATGATTGCCATTATTGAAAGTAAATATTACATTATATTTATAAGTTTTTGCTTTTTCTCTTTTGAATAGAACAACATATTTGTGATGAAGATTTACAGATAATGGATCGTGATGATGTCGAACATCTATTTAAAAATGAATATGGTTTTACATTTCGTGATCGTAAACACTTTTGGAATATGTTACAAAAAATTGTAGACAATCAAATATATTTATTTAAATAACAGTATTTTTTTTTTTTGTTTTCTTATTTTAGCAATCAAATTCAAACTTTAATATAAAACATGGACAAATTATTGACACATCAGTATAAATATTTTCTTGTTATCTATATTGGTGAAGGAATAGTTTTTTTTCTAGGCAATTCTTGAACATATCTATGGATTTGCTGATGAAGACCTTGAGAATAATGATTTAAAAGAACGACAATCTATTACATCTTCATCATCAAATACACATCGGCAATCAACTATTACTGATCTGTTTGATAAGAAAACATCAAATGATGACAGTAATAATTCAAATTCTGCATCATATATTTCAGAATTTTCATTATCATCTGATTATGTATTTACATATCCAAGTATATTACCAGGTTTTTCTAGTAATATCAAGGAAGCACTTAAAACAGATGCAATTCATCAACATTGGGCAACTTTTATTAATGAACTTGCTCGATGGATTATGTCAATAAAACCATATCTTCGTGAACAACATGAATATCAAGCTATTGGACAAACATTATATGAAAAATATCCTAGTATAGGCACCACTGGTCCAAAACCTTGGTCATTTTTATGTCGAAGTCTTAGTCAACGAATTCGAACAGAAAGATGGCAAAGACGAAAAACATTTGCAACAAAAAAACGTAAAGAAGATGATATGAAAACAATTGATCGAAACTATGACAATATATGATCAGAAATCTTTGTTTGTTTGTTTTTTTAATTATACAAGGCTCTCTCTTTTTTTTCAGGCTAATATATAATCTTTAGCATGTGAATTAAAGATTTATTTTTGGAAATTTTCAAAAGTGTTGATAGCGTTTTAATAATAGCTAGATGTGAATGAATCAGTGTTTGTAACGCGTACATAAGACAAATCGATCGTAGAATTATGAGAATCATTTTATTGAATTTTCAATTCAAACTTAGATGTATACCTAAAAATCAAAAAGCAGAATTTCGATGTGAAATATTGCTCAGATATATATCGAATAATACATTGAGTATCTTAAAAATTTCAACCAAAAACAAGTTTTATTTGTCGAGATATCTAATTTTCAAAAAATAATTGTTTGTCACAGGCATCATGATACAAAAAAAGGCTAGAATGCTCTGCGTCGAAAATCAAATAATCGAAATTCGATAGTATGTATTTCTGCTAAGTATTATGTCGACGATGTGATTATAAGCAATGCCTGTTTTTGATGATCTTTATTTTGACGACCGAAGTTATTGGTAATTTGCTGAGATGATACCTGCAGCATAAATGCATAGAATAGACAAAAAGTTCGTGCAGTAGCAAATAATGATTCATAGAAAAAATATTTTTTTAATCTGGTTACAATGAATGTTCAAAGTAGTCCCTATGATGTTCAATACAAAGTTTCTTTCTTTGAATCCATTTCTGAAATATTTTTTGGTATTTGTGAACTGGTATTGAATTGTGCTTCTTGATTATTGCTTGAGTCAAACTTGTAGCATCTAGATATGTATCAAGTTTACTTTTCAAGCAACTAAGCAACTAGAAATCTGAACGAGTCAGGTCAGGAGAGTATAGTGAACAAGTCATAGATTTGATTTTTTCTCTTCTTGAAAATAATTAATAACAATATCGTTTATATATGGCCTTAGAATATTATGATGCCACTTAATGCTATTTATTATTGATGTTGGTCTTTGTTCATGTAGCTTTTTAACTGATCTTTTTAAATATTCACCATAATAATAGATGACATTTGTTGATGTTCCACAACGTAATTGATGAATAAGTAATGGTCTATTTATGATAAAGAAATAACAAAACATTGTTTTGTCTTCGAGTAATTGTGTTCTCATTACTGTTGGAGGACCTTCTTCTTTTGTTATCTATGCTTTTTAGGTTGCTCTTTTGATTTAGTTTTACGATGATAAATCTATTTTTAAGTGAGTTAATGAGGTATCCACCTGGACGATATTTTTCATAAGACAACATGCTGCTTAAGAATAGTATCTACACGATCATGTGAGATATATCCAAGATGGTAGTATAACATGTGAATCATCATTTACCAGATATTTAAAAGTATCGATTTTTTTTAGATTAATGATGGTTATTGCACAAATACTTCGACGATCATCTTCCAATGACTCTCGTCTGCTTGAAAATTGATGAACCCAACCAACAACTGTACAAAATAAGACAAATGAGATATAACTTTGTCCATAAGTAGCAGTAAGTTCATCATACATTTGTGTTGCAGTATGATCTAATAACAAACAAGTTTTTATATATAATTGTATAGACAGTTTTTCGATTTAAAATAAAGGTAGAAAACAACTTCATAAAGAAATTATCGCAATAGATACTTGTGAAACCTCATATTAGTAATTTAATACACACCACATGGTTTTAATAGAACAGGTCAACATAAGGAATAAAAACAATCAGAATAAAATTTTAGATTGCTACTGCGAGAAGTTTTTGACTATCTTATATCTGTAAATGTATATGATAAATAAATATTCAGAAAGAGTGGATGTAAGGAATGATCGCCAATATGAAACTTAAGAACATAAAATGATTCAAAGACATTGAGCGGTCTTCATTTCGATGAACTTCTTATCGGTGATGTTCATTGCAGCGATGGGGTGCATAATCCAAAAATCGAGTTTACTTGAAGCTTTAATATGTTGACAAAAACAATATTCTCTGAGACAGAAGCTTTCAGAATATTCTATGGATGAGTAGATCTATCTACATTCAAAATTGTACATTGAAATTTTGCTTTTCTTAAATTTCCGATATGTCTAAAACTGAGTTAAAAATTTAGTAAAATAATCATAAATCAGCCTAAAAGAACCATGAAGACAAATTCTTTTTGAGCCTTTATTAGTCTTATAAAGGCATCTTGAGAGATCCCATATGAGCTCAAACGGTCGGCATCAGTTCTGGTCGTTGCTTCCGTAGCTATAATGAACAAGTAAGAAAACTAGAAATTGTTGAAAATCTGTAATTATTTTCTTGTGTCCTATTGAAAACTTTTCCATTTTATCTTCTTATATTTATAAGTTAAAATTTTAATGTCTTAAAAAAAAGAATAATTTAAAAGTTTATTTTACAATCGGATAGCATTCTAAATAATGTCAATTTTGTTCTTAGAAAAGCTAAATAATTTTTAGTGTTCTTCTAATTTAACTTAATGATAGAAGAGCTTGTCGGATGAATACATTAGAAATAATGAAATTATTTTTCTTATAAGCAAACAAAAAATATTTAGCAATACACTGCTTCTTTTTACGAGTCACTGTGCATCCAGCAAAACGTATCCTTTTTTATATGAAAGAGTCAAGGATGACGCGTTTCTATATATATATATATATATATGAAGACAGTAAATGACAAACATCAGTCTTACCTTCGTCATACTGTTCATGAACTGTTTGCAAGTAAAATATTTATTATTATTGAAATGTGTTCCTATAAAATTTCATGCTCAATGACAATATTATTTCTTCGACAAAAATGACTTGAACTGTACAGAAGGTTAAGTAGTTTCTATCGATATAATTACATCAATATCAATAGTGTCAATTGACAAGATAGACTTGTATAAAATACCTTAGTAATAAATACAAACAGTTGCCCAAGGGTTTTTTATCTGCGGCGTGACGTCGGTTTTTTCCTATTTACTCATCAATAAATCCTATCTATCATTTAATATATACATTTTTTTCGTTCTTCAGTATCTCTATCACTCTTCGGTCAGTGAATGTTTTATTACGCCTGATTGCACGCACAACGATCGACTATTGTGAGAATACGTTTGCTTATATAGCTTCTTTTGTAAACATATCTAATTATCATTGAATAAAAAGTCAACGAAGAATCATTGCAAATATAAAGAGCACCTAACTAACCTTGTTTTATGTAATGTCAGCAATCCATCATCATCATCATCAAATTCTTTCAAATCTTCTTCGAGATGGTGTATCTCATGCAATGGTTAAGATTCTCGAAGGTAAATAAGATTATTCTGTTGTTTTAATATGCATTATGATTATGTTTTAAATGTATGATTTTTTTTTCTTTTTATAGAACAACGTATCAATGATGAAGATTTACAAACAATAGACCGTGATGATATTGAACATTTATTTAAAAATGAAAATGGTTTTACATTTCGTGATCGTAAACGATTTTGGACTTCTGTACAAAAGTTTGTCTGTAGAAAACAAAAAAATGGATTTCATTTAAAAACTATTTGTTTCTGTTTTTTTATTTTTTCTAGCAATCAAAAAGTATAGACAATAATGTTATTTATATAGAAACCGAAGACGAATCTCCAGTACGAAAAATAAAATAATATAAAAAAAGAAAAATTATGTTTTTATTTTTATTCAAAGGATATTTATGAAGTAAATAATATGGAATCTTCAAATTATCATGTACGAGAACAATATATTCCATTGCCATCATCATCAAATATTCCTTCATCGGTAAGGATGTATAATCATTCCAATACTGATATTCAAAGTCCTACGTTTGGAGAAAATAGCCCTTCGAATAGTAATGATAGTCTCAAAAAAATAGCAGTATCATTGCCTATTTATGATGGATTTATTGAAGATCCTCAAGCAAAAACATCAGCAAATTTCGCATTTCAATATCCAGTTGAATTACCAAGGTTTACACAAAAAGTTCTGACAGCTTTTGAAACAAATAATATTGAAAGTGAATGGAAAACATTAACAAATGAACTTGTTCAATGGATATTAAGTAAAAAATCGACTCCTCTAGTCAGACGTGAATGCCAAGTTATAGGAGAGACTTTATATAAAACATATCCGTCTATTGGAAAAAATGGTTATCGACCATGGTCACGCATATGTAGAAGCATTACACGAGGCCTTCGTAAAGAAAGAACTCGAAAAGATTCATTACATATATAAACCTAATAAAAGCAAAAAAGAAATCTTTTTTGTGTATCTTTTTAATTTCTTTTGTTTATTACGATTTTAAGGTAAATAAAGTTGGCGAGACTATCAAAGAAAAATATTTCTTTTGACTGTCATGTCTTTGCTAACGTCAAAAGCACTTTTCTTACGTACGCAAGTGCGTTCGATCACCTTGAAAAAGGATTATTGAGGTCATCAATTATTGTTGATCATGTTAACAAAGGCTTTATGAACCAATCCAAAAAGATTATTGTATTCGCCCACTCAACATACTTTTTTTTTTTAGTAATCAGTTACTTACATGAAACTAATGTTATGAAAAATTTTGTAGGTTCCTACGATATAATTTGACAGAGCTGTAGAGATTAAAAAATGAGGTCCTCTCAAACATCAAAGAAAAAAATAATGTCCAGTTTTTCACTTAAATCTTCATCAATTTTTCTTCATTTCGTTTGAGCAGCATCTCATTCGAAATAGCTCTTAAAACTAAGCAAAAAAGCATCGTTTTATTTTCTCAACAATTTAAGTTTTGATATTTAAAAATTAGACTTTTTGAAAAATTTCGTGTTTTTGAGGCCATTCTTTTTCCGATTGTAAGTCGTTTTTTTAGCAATTATTGTAGAAGACGCGAAAAAAATTTCGAAATACAAAATGTTAAATCAAATAGGATTTCAAATAGTTAAAATTTCGAAAACCAAATCTCGAAAGATATCCTCTCATTCTATTATCGCTTAGTTAGTTTCATATATACATTCCTATCAATCGAGAATTTTGAGGTGTAAGCGTGGATGTAGAGAAGACTTACGCCAGTACATACATCCAAAGTCACAGTCATCTCATATCTGCATCCCTGAAACAAGTCAACAATCTTTCTTTTTTAAACTTTTTCTATTTCATTACTTCATTATCATGCATTTTTAAAATAAAATATTAAGTACAAATATATGTTATTTGATTAACACATTAAAATCATACACTGTAAACTTTTCAAGAATTTTTAGTTCGAAATTCATCAGCGTCGAATTTTTTTCTTTTAAAATCTTATTTTTTTAGAATTTCAATTTTTCAATCTTTTGTTTTTTTTCGATCATTGTTCCTTTCCGATGTTTTTTTTCCGAGCTTTTTCTATAATATCGTTTTCACTATGGTATACAGTAGACAGTTTCTATCGAGTACGTAGACATGACTTATTTTCTGTCACAAACGAATTCTTTCATAAGAATATTAGCATTTTATATTCGAAAATAAGATTAATGAAAAACAGTGAAATTTGATAAAAAAGAAAAGACCATTTTTCATGGACGATTCATGAGAGGAACTCTTACCCTAAGCTTTTGTGAAAAAATCTTTTGTTTTAAAAATTGATAGATGATACGTCATTCAGCGTAGCTTTTTACGCTTAGTTCAAAGATGTCTGTATTCTTCTTTCAAAGGATTTCTGTGAGAAAGAAATCGCGAAAAACCTTTAAAAACTAAAGTTTTTAGAAAATCTATATGTCAATTCAGAAGGCTTTGTACTAACTGAGCCTATGTTGCAGATAAAGAAGAATATTCTTTGAAAGTTTCATCGTTATCAGATCAGCAGAAAAAAGTGGCTGCCCACTTTACTGACGGTGTTTTTTTGGAAAATGGCTTAGCGTAAAAAGAATACTCATGTAAAAAAAGATTTGACTAGAGTCACAAAAAAGTCGATCTATAATCCATTGAAATCATACATCTTCAATCGGTTATCATAAAAAGATAATCAAAAATATGAAAATTTCGCCGATTGTTTTAATTAAAACAGATTTAAAATCGTTCAAAAAATCATTTTTTATCAATTTCGTGTGATTAAAAGCAATAGAATTTTAAGCTGATTTTGTATGTTTTAGATTGAGTATAACCAATTTTTTCATGATTATTAAATCGATTTTAATCAAAAATGATTAGAATAATCGGTAAAAATTCGATATTTTTAATTATTTTTTTATTATAATCGATTAAAGATGTATGAGGTTAATCGATTTAGAATCGTTTTTTCACATTATTGTTTTTACATGGGTAATTCTTGGTTCAGAACGAAAAGTTAGAAAATGAAAATTTTTCTTACAAAATTAATAGAACTGGAGTCTTAGTTTCAGACCATATATAATTTCTTGGTTAACTCTTTTTATTTTTCACAAAAAAAACATCTTCTTCTCTAACCCCAGTGAAACATTCTGTAAGAAAAATCTTGCCTACCCAGGACGAAGAATCCGGCAGTCGGATCCGATCGGATTCCCTGGAGATTCCGACAGGATCCTATCGGAAGTTGTCGGAATCCTTGCTACGGTAATCCGATGGAATCGTCATGAATTCACATTTAAATAAAAATTTAATTTAATAAAAACTAAATTTATTAAAAATAAAATAAATAAAAATACAATAAAATAATACAATAAAAATAAAATTAAAATTAAACAAATAAAAATAAAATTAGATAAACTAAAATTAAATAAAATAAACATAAAATTAAATTAAATTAAATAATAATAAAATAAGTAAAAATACAATAAAATAAAATACATAAGAATATAATAAAATTAAATAACAACACAGTAAAATAAAACAGTAAAAATAAAATAAATGAAAATAAAATTAGATAACACAAAAATAAATTAAATAAAAATAAAATTAGATAAAAAAATAAAATAAAATAAGTAAAAATACAATAAAACAAAAACAAAATAAAATGATAAAATTCGTACTCACTGTGGATTTACTTCGTGCTTAATAAAATCTAAAACAAAAAAGGTCATTCTATACTTTAGCGCCCCAAGGCATCTGATCTGATATGCACCTAGATAAAAATAAAATAAACTAAAACAAATAAAATTATACACAATAAAATAAAAACAAAATGAAATAAATAAAATTAAAATAAAATAAATTAAATAAAAATAAAATAATATAAATAAAATTAAAATAAAATAAAATTAAAATTACAATAAAATAAATTCAATAAAAATTAAATTCAATCAATAAAATTAAAATTAAATACAATTAAAATAAAAATAAAAATTAAATTAAATGAAATTAAAATTAAATGAAATTAAAATAAAAATAAAATAGAATAAATAAAATTAAAATTAAAATAAAATAAAGGATCCTATGGATATTTTCCTATCATCGAATATCGTCGGATCTAACAAGTTCCCATTGCCGGATATCATCGGATCCTATAGTCGGAATCCGACATCGGAAATCATCGGAAAGTAACGGATAATGATGGTTTCCGATAGTCGGAATCCAATCGGTTTCCGACTATCGGAAACTGTCGGAAAGTTTCGGATCCGATAGGATCCGACCGGGTGACTTTGACCTGGGTAAGATACAAAGTACAAAAAAGTGAACAGATCTTGAAAATTTAGGCACAAAATGATCACATTATCTTGTATCAAGATCTGAAATAAGATCTTAGGTACAGATTTGTGAGATCTCGGTAAAAGATATTCAAAATCTTTAACTTGATACGTTACCTTTTATGATCATTTTTCCTGATCTTTGTTTGATACACATATTTTATCTTGGATACTGACAATTAATATTTTCAAGATCTTCAACCAATATCTGGCTGTGTAAACTTTATTTAATAGTTAGAGTATCTATCTGAATATTTTGTGTAAGTTTAGTTTCCATCAAAAATAGTACAAGAAGAAACAAGGAACCGCAAGAATACAAGCAATTGTATAGTTCACATGAACAATTTTTATAAGTTCAAAAATATGTCTTTTCATACAAATTGAAACGAAGTAGAAACTACAGGTAAAAGAAGCTGATTTCGTTTGTTTTTATTTAAATTTGCGTAATATTTTTGTAGTGATATAACTTTATATCTCTGGTTGTTATTACTGATGCTGTTTTATCATTCGATTTTTATTTTTATTTAGCGGCATCAAATGGCAATGGTGATATATAAAATTGATTGTCATGTGTGTAAGAAATCTTTATCTTATAAGTTAAACACTTATATATAAATCTAGAAAAAAAAGAGCTTTAGCATTTCGGATTTCTATATTGTCTTAGAAAAATCACCATGAAAACAAGTTAGTCAAAGAATTTATCTTAATCAAAGATTTCATTAATATTAACATCTAAAAAATCTTTTATTTCATCGTTTTGCAATAATAATTCCACCTTTAGAAAATTTGAATTCTAAACGATCCTGTATCGTAACATGACACCAGCATGTTCTCATAAAACAACAGTCTTTAATAAGTATACACTAAGTTAGTCAAAAAAAAAGTTTGTTTAAAGTGTCTTTTTTCTTCTCTGGTTGTTCTTTAGAAACTCAATTTCATTGTTGGACAAGTACTCTCACCGTTGCAAAATTTCTTACATATCAATGAGACTAATAAGTTACTATGATTAACTTTTGGAAAATAATTATAATCAATTAAAGAAGCTTTAAATATGTAAAAAAAAGTACAAGGTGTCGCATTTTATTCTACTCAATATCTTTGGAAAAGTTGATTACAACTGATATCTTTTCTATGATCTTGATTATGTTATGTATGAATCTTTGAACAGATCTTACAAATATCTTAGGTGTAGGTGTGGCTGTGGGTGTGAGCTTCTACCTGAGTGAAGAGATAACAATCACATACACACACCTGTACCCTGCTGAAATTCGACCTTTTTTGCAACTAATGTTTTTAAATGAATTTAGCAGTTAGAACAACATTTTTTTATCAAAAACCTGCTCCTTAATCAAAGTGTGCATAAGTTACTATTCAAATCTTGAAAGAGCCCACTTTTCTTTTTTCATCTAATATTCACGTTGTGGTCCACTATGAGATAATGGTCTTGAGAAAAACATTAATATAGTGCATCTTGCAGAGAACTGCATGCTCTACCAAAGCCCTAGAATAGTTTTGAGGAATATTTCCAACAAGCTCTCAAATTTAGGAAACCAATTGAGAAAGGTGGCTTCTCGAAATGCAGCGATCAGGGGAAAATATGTGATTTCCGACCAA